ACCCTGTCATATCTATTCAGCTCCCTCCTCCTCCTCCACCACCACCACCACCACCACCTCCTCCTCCTCCTCCTCCTCATCATCATCATCATCATCATCATCATCATCATCATCTTCAACCATTCTCCCTGCCCCCCCTGCCCCAACTTCCTCCTTCGCTCACATCTCCCCCTCTTCCTCTCCCACTTCCGCTTTCTCCTTTCCACCCTCCTCCTCCTCCTCCTCTCTCCTCCCATTATCCTCTAGAAAGCTCACCCAGGAAGGCCTCGAAGACGGCCCAGCTCAGTACCTGGGGATGATGTAAGGGCACAGGACGGAGGGAGCACAGAGGGGACGAGGACGAGGACGAAGTAGAAGTTGGTTGAGGAGGAGGAGGAAGGGGGAGTGGGGGGGGGAGGTTGGGGGGTAGGGGTACAGGTTTGTCAAGCTTCTTGTCCAGCAGCATCTTGTTCTTGCGCAAGAACTGTAATGAATGCGAATTCAGCAAGTGGAAAGCATTGCATAGCTCAGCATGTTTTGAAAAGCAGGAGTGGTGTTGAAGCGGAAAGGGGGAAAGCGGCAGGGGAGGAGGAGGATGTGAGGAGAAGGGAGAAGGGGAAGGGAGGAGAGGAGGAGAGAAGGGAAGCCGAAGAAACAGGACAGCGAAGGAAGAGAAGCTGACGAAAGAGCTTGTCTCACCTCGGTCTTGAAGCTTCCATCAGCATCCCAGGTGAATCGAACTTCCAATCCTTTCGACAGCTTCTGCTTGTATCCTCCCTGCTGTGAATTCAGTGCTGCTGGAGGGAGTCTTTTCCTGTCCTCCTCCTCCTCCTCATCATCATCATCATCATCATCATCATCAACAACAACAACAACAAAATTCCTTCCTCTCCTCCTCATCATCATCATCCTCAACAACATCAACATTCCTTCCTCTTCTGCTCCTCTTCGCTGCTCCTCCTCCTCTTTGCTTTTCTTCACTTCTCTCCTCCTCCTCACCTTCTCCTTCCTCATACTACAACTCAACAGCACCAACAGATTCAATTCGCTCTCAGCACAGCATCTATTCATAACAACAATTGTGAACATGTCAGCCAGGCTTTCCACTGACCTGTTTCACCATCCAGTTGCGCCACAGCTCAAGGAAAGCAAGGTCGACGAAGCTTTTTCTTGCCATCTTCTCCTCAATCCTGAGTGAAGTCAAGGTGAGTGAGAGACAAGTATGTAATATCTCGTTGATATGTGGAGACGGATGTTAAGAATGAGAATGAGAATGAGAATTGAGTTTGGGATTGAAGGAAATTAGCCCAGTTGAAATGTGTTGTGTTGTTGATATTACGGGAGAAATCGTCATCATCGTGTCCACATCATCTCTCTCCCCAACTTTATCACCAACTCCATCTCCAAAATCATGATCATGATCATTTATATCATGATCATTTACTCCAGCATCATCATCATCATCATCATCATCATCTCCATCATCATCATCATCATCATCATCATCATCATCATCATCTCCATCATCATCATCATCATTCAACACGTCCTTCCACATCAGACTCAAGAGGACACATCAACCTGTCGTTGATCAACTCGGTGAAGCGATGAGAGTCGTTCTCAGTGGCAAGCACTATCCTCTATCACCAGAGACATCAGCGTCTTCCACTCTTCAACTTTCATCCTCACAATCACTCTCTTCATCTTCACTTCCTCGTCCATGAGAACCTTCGCACACAAGGCTCAACGAAACGTTCGTGACAACTCAAACCCAACAAACCTCGTAGGCTGCTTGCTTCTCGTTCCGCTTTCCCTTCCCTCCTCCCTTTGCCTTCACTGCCGCTGCCATGGAATCAGCTTCTCCCATTCAACACAGCAGCCGTTGCGAGCTCTCACCCTTTGCAGCAGTTGCGTCCACATACAACCCGACCGCGTACTCGTTTATCTTCTTCCATGGCTGCAAAATTCCTTCAGCGGAAAACTCCACCTCCTCCTCCTCGTCCTCGTCCTCGTCCGCCTCCTCCTCCGCGTCCTCGCCCTCGCCCTCCTCCCCATGCTGTACACTACTATCCTCTTCTCCGTCTCGACCCTCCTCCTCCTCTCACACCTTCCACCACGGCCGTCTTGACACGCAACCAGCTTGAGAAACATCATCGTCACTGCAGTACTGGAACAAGACTCAGCGGCATACCTGAGATCAGCCTCATGTTTGTTTCTTTGTCATTCTTGCCGCTGTCAAGTATGACAGGGAACTTGATCCCTGTCTCCTTCTCCACAGCATTCCTGCAAACTTGGGCTCAACTTCAACATTCACATCTGAATCATCTTCTTTCACCGCTCTGAACTCTTCTTCTTGGCATCGGCAACGAACATCACATTTGTTTCTTCACTCTGTGAAAAAAACAGCGCAAAGAAACCTCAATCAGACAACATAACAGCAACCAGAACAAATTTGCATCATGTACAACCACATAGCATGTCTGTCTCCAAACTAGAGATTTACAACCAAAAACAGAAACAATTGCACATCTGCACAACAGCAGAGCAAAACAAAACATCTCTGCTCAGAGAATACCACTCACCGGACTGTGACCTCCCCCTCCGTTCCAACTCCCAAACCATCCCCTTCCTCCTGCTCGACGCTCTCATCTCCGAGCCTCTACACGCCTTCATCCACTCACCTCCCATTCCACCTCCTCCCCCAGGGCCCCAGACGTCCACAGCTACGGAGGTCCTGAAATCGGGTCAGGTGCAGCATAGCGAGCAATAGCCAGAGTGACCGGAGGATGGGGAGGAGGAAAGGGAGGAGGTCAGTGAAGAGGAGGGGAAAGGGACGTTTAAGAGGAGGGGGGGTTCTGAAGGTAGGAGGAGCAAGGTGCTGCGGTGAAGCAACGGGCATGGCGGGAACTTTGGGCATGCGAAAGGCTCACTTGCTCTGGGATGGTTTGGATATCATTGCAGCGCTCAAGCCTTGAAAGGAGAGGTTAGCAACAGGCGATGCCAGTGGATGCTTGCCCTTCAGCCATCATGCCAAGAACAAGAGTTTTCTCCCTCACCTCGTAGACCCATCATGGGGGAGGGCGTGAAAGCGGCACATCCTACATGTTCTGAGTCAGATCACTGGGTCCTCGAGCTGTACAGGGAGAAAGAGGAGAGCACCTGAACAGTGAAGGATGGCAATGAGCGCGGCGGAGAGGATCGGCGTTGAGCCCATGTTGGTTTTCAACATGGATGAGCTGATCTCCTACCAAAGTTCCGTCAGTTCATGATTGCCTTCATGTTCCATGTGAGATAAGACCATGCACGATCTCTACATTATCTTCTGTACGATAAGATAAGAACCTATCTGATCGATATGGAATCTTTGTAAGGTGCAAGCCTGCATGGATTCCTTCTTCAGCAACGTAAATGCTCTCTCTCTATTCTTTTCTTCCTGTACTTCAAGCATCATGTGTATGCGATCCTTCTGCTTGTTGTCATCCTGCACCTCGTTTTCATCCTAATCTTCCTCCATCTTCTTCTGCTTCTCCCCGTCCACCTCGCCTTCCCCTCTCCCCTCCTCCTCGTCCGTTCTAGCCCATGGCGCGGCCGCATGCAGATCCTAAAAACAATCTGGCCAGGGGGCGATATTGTTGGAAACTCTCAAATATTCTCAACTACATTTCAAAACTTTCTACGAAAATTAATATCTACTTTCATATTTTGTAACTATCAGCCCAATTGTGGATAAATCTGAATGGCCCCTATGAATCTGACCCAACACCCCTACCCCTCCTGTTTCAAAATATGACTCTACCCTACCCGTACTGATTACATGAATTGTCAGGTCCAAATACCGGTATCTGAACACCCCCACACCTGACCTACCTACTACCTACAAGTCTAGTCACAACTCAGCCTTCAGTAGAACTTGTCCGGGCCCGGCCGCGAGTCAACGGTCCCGAGTCCGACGGTCCGCGCCGTCGCGCGCCGGCCACGCACCGTGGCCCACCGGTGCCGCTGTGTGCGGGCCGGGGCCGGGCAGCAGCCGGGAATCCCGGGGGGGTGAGGCGGTGGACTCAGTAAACTTCGGCGAAGTCTGGCCGGGCACGGTGCCCGGAGGCTGAGTCAACTTGCAGGCCCGGGCTTTCTTTACTCAAAATTAAGTTAAAAATCAGAACGAGGACAATCAGGAGAGGCGAGGAGGCTTGACCCTGACACTGTCGCACAGGCCAAACGGCGAGAAGAGAAAAGACAGCGAGAACCAAACCCAATCCTGCCGACTGCTGTCCCCCAAACTTAACGGATACCTTCACTTAACTGCGCGCAGGACAAGTCCCCCGCGCGGCAATGCCAGCGATGTCGCGGCCTCAGAGACAGTCACTGTCTCTGAGGCGGTGCCGGGTGATACTAACATCATCAGCCTCCGTCTCATGAAATGCCCGGGGCCGCAGCGGGCCATCACTGACTCCTTTTGAACCGTTCCGACAATACTATGATAGTGAAGCGATGATGGCCCTCCTCAAGGCGTGCAGAGCAAGACTGAGGAGATGACTGTCTCACACAGCATCATCGCCGCCGGCGTTGTTGAAAGTTGAAGCCGCTCACTTGACAAGAAAGCAAGCGGGGCCCGTCCCAGCTCGGTTATGATGGTAAAGAAGCTGCTGCCCGACATCAGATCACCCAGGCTTGCTGTGTGTGCGTGCGAACATACAAACTCTCCAAGCTCCTCTGCTTCTCTTTATTTACAGGCTATCGCTACAATCAGCTGAGGTACAGCAGCTATGTCTCATTCCGAGCACAACAAGATTTCAACAGCCTTGGGCTTGCAGTGGCTCTAGTGTACACGCTTGCTCGTGGCCTGCTGCTACTTGATGCCGACTCTTGCCACCTTGAAGGTCTGCCCGAAGTATGGCCGCAGCATCTTCATCTTGTCGAAGCCGCAGAGCTTTGCCGACGATCGCTGACGCCTTGGCTGTCTCGGCATCTGGCTCGGAGCCTCCTCGTCGAGCTCATCCTCCTCCTCAAGAAACCAGCATGCAACGTCCCCGACGAGGCGGGCAAACGCCGCTATCACGGCCATGGCCACTAGCAGCCGCCGGCATGATCGCTCGCGGGCTTGGAGAGCAAGGTCCCTGGGGGCAGGCTGAAGGTCTGAGAGAGGAAGGTGCCAGTCGTGGGAGGACGTGTTCATGGTAGCAGATACTCGCTTTCCTTGTCGCGGCAGGGAGCAGGGCAGGTTATATGCTGACAGCAGGCAAAGATGACGGTCGCGTGAGATACACTTGTCACGCTCCCAGCTGACAGTGAAGCATGTGGTAAGTATGACAGTGAAGCAGGTGGCAAGTATTTACCTCATGACCACAATACAAATGTTACATGTCACGTGATCTTTTCGGTGGGGCTCGCCGCAGCTGCCCGCTCAACTGGAGTATGTTCAATAAATGCTGACAGGCAGTCACGAGGTAATGCACACTAGGAGCGTGACAAGTGTATCTCACGCGACCGTCATCTTTGCCTGCTGTCAGCATATAACCTGCCCTGCTCCCTGCCGCGACAAGGAAAGCGAGTATCTGCTACCATGAACACGTCCTCCCACGACTGGCAACGTCCTCTCTCAGACCCTCAGCCTGCCCCCAGGGACCTTGCTCTCCAAGCCCGCGAGCGATCATGGCGGCGGCTGCTAGTGGCCATGGCCGTGATAGCGGCGTTTGCCCGCCTCGTCGGGGACGTTGCATGCTGGTTTCTTGAGGAGGAGGATGAGCTCGACGAGGAGGCTCCGAGCCAGATGCCGAGACAGCCAAGGCGTCAGCGATCGTCGGCAAAGCTCTGCGGCTTCGACAAGATGAAGATGCTGCGGCCATACTTCGGGCAGACCTTCAAGGTGTCAAGAGTCGGCATCAAGTAGACAGCAGGCCACGAGCAAGCGTGTACACTAGAGCCACTGCAAGCCCAAGGCTGTTGAAATCTTGTTGTGCTCGGAATGAGACATAGCTGCTGTACCTCAGCTGATTGTAGCGATAGCCCTAGAGCCTGTAAATAAAGAGAAGACACAGCAAGTGTAGCACCAGTCGGCTCACTGATGTTTGTCTGTCACTGTGACCCAACCCAAGTCAAGGGTGCGCATGGGAGGTACCTGGTACAGGAAGCGAAAGGGAGCATGTCTCATCGTAGAGCTCCGCGGGGCCGAGGGATATCAGAGCTCTGGCAGTTTGCTCAAAACTTCTAAAACTAAAAGCTCAAAACTTCTAGAACTTCATCTTCAGCCCAACCTTGGCGGAGCGCAGATATCCATAGGACGGCCTCTGATCAAGAGGCTTCGATCGAACTACTCATCATCGATCAAAGTTCTTATCATTCACCGAAGTTCTCATCATCAATCGCCGAACATTCTTCGTCTCAATCACATCAATTTCAACTCTCCAAAAAGTCTCCCATCCCCACATCAATTACTTCTGAGCATGAATCCCCGCCAACTTGTCTGACTCGTTGGAAGACTTCACGAAAATCGGCTCTGCCCTTTATCATGGCGTTGTGTTTTTTCATGATTTCATGATGGAAGAGCAAGAGAGCAAAGACAGCATGCTTTGCAGGAAATTGTAAAGCATCATAACGTCCTCAAGAAAAGAATAAAATCTACTCTTTTCACATGCGTGTCTGCAGGCACGACAAGCAGAGCAAGAAGGATCGGGACAAAAGGAGGACGGCAAAATTCCTTTCCCCACTTCTCCTGTTCCCGACTCTGAAAGACCGAAGGCTACCGGTCCGATAACCAGGCATCAGATGCTAACAGTAGGGGAATGTTACTAGAGTCCTTTCTCCCCCTCAGTTTAAGGTTGAGTCGCTCAGCCTGTGACAATCGAGCTGCCAGCCGCGTCACCCTAACAACTTCCTCGACACCCTCCGGTGGTAAATATGCTGATTCAAGCGGCGAAGCTCTTCAAGAGCCTGTGATCAAAGCTTCCGAAAGCCTGAGCTCGCAAGCCGCTGAGCTATCATCGGTCTTGTTGAGTAGTCATTCGGGCTCTTCTGGGGTGGGTGTAGCAGACATGTGACCGCATCTGGCCCAGGATCTCTCTCGTCAGGTCAAGGCCTCCCTGTCCTTGGCTGCCATCATTGCAACTGCGTTCCGATATGCGTCTCACTCCTTCGGCGGCGGCCACAGCATCGTCGCAGGCATGACGCGGGGATCTTGTCCTGCGCGCACTTAGTGATCAATAAGTTTGCCGACCCTCATCGCTGCCCAGACTCCTCAACTCTCTACTTCTCAGCCTTCTGCTCCAACCGCAATCACATGCAACCAGGTCGTGGATGCTTGACCTCGACGAGAGTACTCAGTGTTTCCATCATGTCATTAGTATGGAGAGGATTCGAAAACCGACCTAGACCCTAAAATCCACATGCTGGCTTATTGTTCTACATCTTGATTTGCAAAGCAGCTTAATCATGGTCCCGGTAGATGGTAATGCCTCCCCACTTTTGAAGTAAGCAATGAAGGTCCAATGGAGGACTGTCGGGGTTGGGTTCCAGGTCAGATATACTCTCCTGTAGCGATTGCTGCGGCCACTGTAACATCTTCGCAAGAAGACGGAGATACGCAACGTCAAAGCGCTTGCACTGGGCAGCTGGTAGTCAGTCGCTGCCGAGCCTGCTCTGTGACTCCAGCTCGGGGAACTACTCGAGCGTGAGTATGAATCCGAAAATGATGACTGCTCCCCCAGTAGCTGAGCTCGCATGCAACCACCGGTCCTAAGCCTAGCTATTCCATCCGATTGGAGGGTGGGGTGTCGCGGACTGCCCTTTCGAGTGGGACGTGACTCACACTTGTCAGTTTGAAAAACCGTTGAGCTTGACTCCGCAGATGACAGTAAAAGGAGTGATTTCGGATTCAAAATGTCATATTCGAATCACGTACCTTTTCCCAAGTTCCGAAGAAAAAAATCATGAAATGGGGGGTACCGAATAGCCTCCGAGGTTTCCTTCCGCAGTTCGGCCACCCGGTGACCGGTCCGATAATCCAACTTGATAACAAGTAGCCCCGGCCACCGGTCCTATAACAAGTAGCCCACCGGTCTGACAACTAGTAGCCCACCGGTCCTTGGACGGTACTCTCGAGTCGAGTCCCGGACTCGACAAGGGCCAGGAAGCCTGAGGAGACGGTTGAGCCCTTCCACGTGGTCAGGGCTCTTGCCGGCCCTTCCGCCGGTCAGTCCTGCCAGTAGTCACGGTCCGAGCCTACGTACCCTACTTGACTAAGTCCACTGTAAAATCAAACAATAACAGTAGTAATAATGGTACAGATTACTACACAACCCTGCCGATCATTCCCCCAAAAACTTGGGGAATGTCGCCGCCAACTCAGCGAGATGCCACTAGCCGCGGCCGGGCCTACAACCCCTCGCCTTCCACCCCACCCGCCCCCCCCAGGTCGTAGTCAATACTACCAGTCAATGTCTTTGGACCCTACCCCCGCCTCCGCTCAAAAGTTGGCAGGACCTGATCCTCCATGTGGTCAGGGCTCTTGCGCGGGGGTGGGGTGTCGCGGCCGGTCGAGGGGTGGCGGGGGGTTGACAGCGAGTCGACCTCGTAAAGAAAGAAATCAGGCACTGCGGCACTTGGAAAAAAAATATGCTATTTGTAAAACAAGACAGGTTCACTACCGTCCCTCTCCGCTGACCAGCTGCCAGCCCCTGCTTCCTCTCCCTCCCTCCGCAGCTCCTGCTATGTCCCCGTCTCTACCCCTCCTCCTCCCTCCCTTCCTCCTTGACGACCTCTCCTTCCACCCCTCCTTCCTCCTCCCCATCGACCCCGTCGACGTCCCAGACCCCTCCGCTACTACCTGTGATGACCGCTGCCTGTCGCCTTGCAGTGTGCTGCCCCTGCCCCTCCTCTTCCCTGACCCTCCCTGCCCCGTCGCCTCTGCCCTTGACCTCTCCTCGTCCGACGACCCCTCCCTCGACGCCCTGCCGGATCCCGGACCTCCCGGCAGCTGGGGCTCGGAGACCAGCCGCTGGGACGCGGCGGCGCGGAGCAAGCACAGCTCGGCGTGTAGGGGCAGGAGCCGGCTGACCGCGCAGGAGAAGCTCGACATCGTCTGCCTCTACTACTCCGCCCCGGCCACGACCAATAATCGACGGACGATCCAGCAGCAGGACCTGTCGAGGATGTACTGCAAGAGCCGGGCGGCGATCAGCAAGGTGCTGAGGCCGGAGTACGCGAGGGGGGTCATGGCAACGGCTCAAGGGCTCATGGTCAAGAACCACAACGAGATCCTCGACAACATCGCACAGGAAGAGCGTCGCAAGCACAAGGCCTTGCGCCGAGGGCCAAGCGAGGTGACTGGCTGAGAGGTGCGAGGAGGTATTGCGATGCTGCTCAGGATCCGGACGTAGCGGATTCTGAGCCTGCACTGGCTGGGCAGTTGCCCGACCTCCGAGACAGCAGCGTGTCTGACGGGCTAGACCTGATGCACCTTGCTGGCAACTTCTTGTTATCATGCCGACAAGTGACTTGGAGGACGACTTGCCCGCCGATTGGTGGTGGGTCAGAGTGAAGAACTTGGAAGCACTGGCAAAATGGTATGCTTGAGGCGGCCGATTGACGCTAGCCTCCAAATGTCTAGATCCTAGTTCATTTGACATCAATCTGAGATTTACATACGTTTAGATCCAAAATATCACAAACAAACATGGCTCCATGACTCTTTCATGGGCGAAGTGGGTGGATGAGGCTCTTGCTGGTGTTCAACTTGGAATCAGTCAAGATCCCTGAATTGAACGACATTGAATCACAATCATGACATGAAAGGAATTTGCGGCAGGCAGCATTATGCAGATCTTACTGTTATTGGTAAGATGATGGTGAAGAGCCAGCACAACTATCCATGTCGACCCCCCTACATAACATCTCGAACAACACGCATGTTGTTCAAAACCTGTGTTTTGACCTTCTCCCTTGAATGAGAAGTCTTGATGAGACCATGATGCCTATGCAACGGTTTCTGAGTATCAAGTTGAGTACATTGAAAGAGTTTGGAAAGACTGAAGTCTTGCAAGTTGTATACATCTTGCAATTTCGGTCACAGCGGGCCTGCTCTAGAGTCAGAATGGAAATAAATAATAATAAACCATGAAAGGATAATTTTACTACTCTCCAGCAAGTATGTGACCAGCGACTCAAACAAGCAAGCGATCACCGGTCCTGATAAGACTGTGATCAGGGCTCGAGGGGGGGTGGGTGTCGCGGACTGGGGAAGCCCGTGACTCTCCGGAGCAGTACCAGGGGTACACGTCGAGTCGAGTCGGACTGGTGACTCAAAAAAGAAAAGTTTAATACCGTACACTACCCCTCCTGTTCTCCACTAGTGAACTATCACAGCTCCGCAACTCTCCGCCTGACAAGATGGAATGAAGACACCCCTGAAGGGGGGGTAGTGCGCGAGGTAGGCTGGTGCCGGGGGTACACAGCGAGTCGGACTCGTAATGAAAGTAAGCAGACGCTTATAACAAAAAGGTAGTCATCGGTCCTCCTTTAAAAATTAGAAGTTTACTACAGGTCGTAGTCATCCCGTGGGACCACTGCCGATTCCCAAGAGTGGGGGAATGTCGCTACCTCCTGCTGTCCCCTTGGCTTACAAGCTGCCAGCCCCTGCTCCCTCCCTCACCCGCTGAGCCCCTCCTCCTCTCCCTCCCTCCGCAGCTCCTGCTATGTCCCCGTCTCTACCCCTCCTCCTCCCTCCCTTCCTCCTTGACGACCTCTCCTTCCACCCCTCCTTCCTCCTCCCCATCGACCCCGTCGACATCCCAGACCCCTCCGCTACTACCTGTGATGACCGCTGCCTGTCGCCTTGCAGTGTGCTGCCCCTGCCCCTCCTCTTCCCTGACCCTCCCTGCCCCGTCGCCTCTGCCCTCGACCTCTCCTGGCCCGACGACCCCTCCCTCGACGCCCTGCCGGATCCCGGACCTCCCGGCAGCTGGGGCTCGGAGACCAGCCGTTGGGACGCGGCGGCGCGGAGCAAGCACAGCTCGGCGTGTAGGGGCAGGAGCCGGCTGACCGCGCAGGAGAAGCTCGACATCGTCTGCCTCTACTACTCCGCGCCGGCCACGACCAAGCACCGACGGACGATACGACAGCAGGACCTGTCGAGGATGTACGGGAAGAGCGGGCCAGCGATCAGCAAGGTGCTGAGGCCGGAGTACGCGAGGGGGGTCATGGCGACGGCTCAAGGGCTCATGGTCAAGAACCGCAACGAGATCCTTCACAACATCGCGGAGGAGCGTCTCAAGGAGGAGACCCAGCAGACAATCACAACACTCAAGGTCATGCGCCGAGGGCCAGGGAGAGCGACTGGCTGAGCGATGGAGCTCTGGGTGGCCGCCTGCATCGAAGACGACGGCGCTTACAAGCAGCCAGCCACTGCTCCCTCCCTCAACCGCTGAGCCCCTCTTTCTCTCTCCCTCCGCAGTCTCTACGCTTTTGCCTCCCTCCGTTCCTCCCTGAAGACCACTCCTTTGTTACGAAGCAGTTAAGACGAGTGTGCTGTTGTCGTTGTGAGAGCTTTGAAACTCTCAAGGTGGAGAGTTTTTTTCCCGCGTCTATCAATGGCCTTCTGAGACGAGGACGGTCTGTGCTGTGTGAGTATGCTACTCGAACTCTTTCTTTACTTCCCTTCTTGTGAGTCGAGAGATCAGACAGCAATAGCAGATTCACATCCTATCATTGGTAGCCTAAGGTTGGTTGTGTTGGAACTCAACACACGAAGAGACACACGATGAGTAGAATCCTGGACTTGACACCTAGGACAACAACCAGGCGCCGCTTGAAGCACGGGTGGGACGCCCGGCCGCCTTTCCCACACGAGGGATGCTTTTGAGAGATCGTTGATATCGAGGTTGAGTGTCGTAAGCAATGCGATCACGATGAGGAAGAAGAAAGAGCATCCACAAAATGTAGAAAGCAGCCACCATGTGGATTTCAGAGTCTAGATCATTTCAGATCTCAGACTGTAGGGTTTGTATCAACGTTGTTGATTGTAGGGGTCTTTTATGATGATGAAACGTTGAGAGGAGCATCCATCCCCGGCATATGCAAACCAGCTGGCACATACATGCTTGAAGGCTCTCGTTGGCATGCCAGCAGACGAGTCAGGGTGGCACCTTTGCGGAAGGTTCTGTAAGGAACATCTCCAGCAACATAGATGATCTAACATACAAAGAAAGCCACACAGACAAACCATGCTTCGATCTATGAAACCCATGCCGAGAAAGATCCGTCATTTCCTTGACGAGATGACGGAGATACGCAACGTCAAAGCGCTTGCACTGGGCAGCTGGTAGTCAGTCGCTGCCGAGCCTGCTCTGTGACTCCAGCTCGGGGAACTACTCGAGCGTGAGTATGAATCCGAAAATGATGACTGCTCCCCCAGTGGCTGAGCTCGCATGCAACCACCGGTCCTAAGCCTAGCTATTCCATCCGATTGGAGGGTGGGGTGTCGCGGACTGCCCTTTCGAGTGGGACGTGACTCACACTTGTCAGTTTGAAAAACCGTTGAGCTTGACTCCGCAGATGACGGTAAAAGGAGTGATTTCGGATTCAAAATGTCATATTCAAATCACGTACCTTTTCCCAAGTTCCGAAGAAAAAAATCATGAAATGGGGGGTACCGAATAGCCTTCAAGCCTTCGAGGTTTGCCCACCGGTCCTATACCAAGAAGCCCACCGGTCCTATAACCAGCCTCTGCAGCCCCCGGACTTGATGATCGACTTCTCGGGACGGACCTGGCCGGGGCCCCTTCTGCCTCAATGCTCGCCGAGTCCGGTGGCCCCGAGGCCGGGGAGATTGAGGGCGTACTACTTGTAGCTCTTCAAGAGCTGAGACCGATTGATGACTCGTAGCTCTTCAAGGGCCAGGAAGCCTGAGGAGACGGTTGAGCCCTTCCATGTGGTCAGGGCTCTTGCCGGCCCTTCCGCCGGTCAGTCCTGCCAGTAGTCACGGTCCGAGCCTACGTACCCTACTTGACTAAGTCCACTGTAAAATCAAACAATAACAGTAGTAATAATGGTACAGATTACTACACAACCCTGCCGATCATTCCCCCAAAAACTTGGGGAATGTCGCCGCCAACTCAGCGAGATGCCGCCAGCCGCGGCCGGGCCTACAACCCCTTGCCTTCCACCCCACCCCCCAGGTCGTAGTCAATACTACCAGTCAATGTCTCTGGACCCCACCCCCGCCTCCGGCGCTCAAAAGTTGGCAGGACCTGATCCTCCATGTGGTCAGGGCTCTTGCGCGGGGGTGGGGTGTCGCGGCCGGTCGAGGGGTGGCGGGGGGTTGACAGCGAGTCGACCTCGTAAAGAAAGAAATCAGGCACTGCGGCACTTGGAAAAAAATTATTGTTTTCTCGATACTTTGAGTAAAACAAGACAGGTTCACTACCGTCCCTCTCCGCTGACCAGCTGCCAGCCCCTGCTCCTCTCCCTCCCTCCGCAGCTCCTGCTATGTCCCCGTCTCTACCCCTCCTCCTCCCTCCCTTCCTCCTTGACGACCTCTCCTTCCACCCCTCCTTCCTCCTCCCCATCGACCCCGTCGACATCCCAGACCCCTCCGCTACTACCTGTGATGACCGCTGCCTGTCGCCTTGCAGTGTGCTGCCCCTGCCCCTCCTCTTCCCTGACCCTTCCTGCCCCGTCGCCTCTGCCCTCGACCTCTCCTGGTCCGACGACCCCTCCCTCGACGCCCTGCCGGATCCCGGACCTCCCGGCAGCTGGGGCTCGGAGACCAGCCGCTGGGACGCGGCGGCGCGGAGCAAGCACAGCTCGGCGTGTAGGGGCAGGAGCCGGCTGACCGCGCAGGAGAAGCTCGACATCGTCTGCCTCTACTACTCCGCCCCGGCCGCGACCAATAATCGACGGACAATCCAGCAGCAGGACTTGTCGAGGAAGTACTGCAAGAGCCGGGCGGCGATCTGCAAGGTGCTGAGGCCGGAGTACGCGAGGGGGGTCATGGCGACGGCTCAAGGGCTCATGGTCAAGAACCACAACGAGATCCTCGACAACATCGCACAGGAAGAGCGTCGCAAGCACAAGGCCTTGCGCCGAGGGCCATGCGAGGCGACTGGCTGAGAGGTGCGAGGAGGTATTGTGATGCTGCTCAGGGTCCGGACGTAGCGGATACTGCACTGGCTGGGCAGTTGCCCGACCTCCGAGACAGCAGCGTGTCTGATGGGCTAGACCTGATGCACCTTGCTGGCAACTTCTTGTCATCATGCCTGATCAATGCCGACAGGCATCAGAGCGGGATGAAGGGGCTCGACTTGCTAGGTGCTCGCGCGGGGCGATTTGGAGGACGACTTGCCCGCCGATTGGTGGTGGGCCCGAGTGAAGAACTTGGAAGCACTGGCAAAATAGTATGCGTGAGGCGGCCGATTGACGCTAGCCTCCAAATGTCTAGATCCTAGTTCATTTGACATCAATCCGAGATTTACATACGTTTAGATCCAAAATATCACAAACAAACATGGCTCCATGACTCTTTCATGGGCGAAGTGGGTGGAT